GTGTTTTCAGGGAGCCCCTGAAGGGGCCGGGGCCGGGCCCGGCGGGGCTGCCCGGGCTGCTGGTCACGCCGCCCAACTCGCCGGTGCTGGAGTACTTCCCGGCCGGGGCCCCCCCCGAGGACTGCAAGCCCAAGCGCGGCCGCCGCTCGTGGGCGCGCAAGCGGACGGCCACGCACAACTGTGAATATCCGGGCTGCGGCAAGACCTACACCAAGAGCTCCCACCTCAAGGCGCACATGCGGACCCACACGGGTAAGGGCGCCTCGGGGGGTGGGGGGGCGGCCGCGCGGAGGGTCCCGGGTGGGGGGGGCCGGGGCACACGGTGAGACCCGCGAGCCCGCTCCGGTGTGGTTGCCGGCCGGAGGTGTGGAGCGGCACCGGGCGTGCACGGAGAAGACCCCGGTCAGTCCGGGGGTGTAACGGAGGGTCCCTGTGGTGGGGCTGGGTGGGGGCACCCGCAGAGACCCTGCAGCTGGCATGGGGCTGCACGGAGGGGTCCTGCGTGTGGGGCAGGGTGCAGCGGGGATGCCCCCGGGAGTGCTCAGAAGGACCCCCGTGGTGGGGCCAGGCAGGGGCGCACTGGGACCAGGGCACACAACGCGAGACCACCCCTGTGACACCCCTGCTTGCTGGCCTTGGGGCCCAGGGTGCCTGAAGGGGCAGGGCCTTGGGGACACATGGAGAAGCCCCTCACCTGGGCTGGGGCCGAACAGCGTGGGGACACTGATGGGTGTGTATGGTGAGACCCCCCGGCAGAGCTGGAACAGGGCACATGTTGCAGCCCCCCAGCAGGGATGAGCAGGGGAGCACCCACACTTTGAAGTGGGGCAGGGGCACATGGAAGGGTGCTGCAGGGGTGCCCAAATGATGACCCCCGTGCAGGGCACATGGACAGCGGAGCACATGGGGAAGGGCAGGAAGGTGGGGGACAAAAGGAAAAGTGGGGGAGGTGGGGGGGGCGAGTACACAGCAGGGCTCCCTTCTCCTAAGGGTGGGGGTCAGGGATCCCCCTCAGAGGGGTGTTGGGTGGGGGAGCACAGGGCTGAAGGTGTAGGGAGGATGGGGACCTCCAAGCCCACTGACACTCCCTCTCCTCCACAGGTGAGAAGCCTTACCACTGCACCTGGGAAGGCTGTGGCTGGAAATTTGCCCGCTCCGATGAGCTGACCCGCCACTACCGCAAGCACACAGGGCACCGGCCCTTCCAGTGCCACCTCTGCGAGCGGGCTTTCTCCCGCTCCGACCACCTCGCCCTCCACATGAAGCGGCACATGTGAGCAGTGGGCTGTGGCCGGACTCGATGTCCCCGGAGCCAGCTCACAGTGTAAATAGTGTTGGGTTGGGGATGGCAATGGGGAGCAGCCCGGCCTCCCAGCCCTCTCCGCTTGTAGTTGATAACTAGTTTTCTCCTCCTGCCCCTGCTGTGAGAGCTGGGCCCAGCCGAGTGTGGGGAAGGGCTGCTTTGGGGTGTAGATGGGGAGCAAAGCTGCAAGAAGTGTCTCCAGCTCCTGCCCAGGCATCACCACTCAGCTCCCTGTGCCTGGAGGGTCCCCCCCCAGCCAGGTACCTGGTGAGTGGGGGGGGGGGGCTGGTGCAGCAGGGATCTGTCCCCAGAGCTTGTATTTGGTATCAGCTTGACCTTCTCCCCCCAATCCTGGCACCCCCCTGGCTCCAGGGACTGTGGTGGCTGACTCTGGCCAGGCTTTGGCCGGAGACACGTGCCCGCTGGGTGCGTGGGTCGTGGTGCTGGGGAATGGGTTGCTGGTCTTCTCGGTTGTGGCCATCAGAACAAACCTCCTGACCCAAAAGCCCAGAGTGGATGGGGCAAGGGTGGGACCTGACCTTGTCTTGTGGCTATAAAGGTTGGCAGGGGTTGGCAGCGCAGCATCACCTTGCACAGGGAGCGGGGATGCTCCCGTTGCCAGCTTGGGACCCTGCTGGGCAGTCCAGTCCTGGCCGTTCCCACAGTTTTCCGCTCAGGAGCCTAAAATGGCTCTCCTGGCTCTCGTCTGCTTTCATTTGTCTTGTTCTTCCCCTCAGGATGACACCAGGTACTGCTGCAGCTGCCTTCCCCATGCTGCTTTTTTTAAATTTAGTGTGTAAAGGACAGTGAGTCCAGCTATGAATGCCCAGGTCTCTGCTATACTTGAAACTTTCGTAGAGGGAAAAAAAGAGAAAACTCAAAAGAAAATGAGTCTTTTTATGTGCAGCTTCTGCAAAGCAAGTTGTAAATTAAACAAAGCAGTAATATATAATGTTTCTGTTTTTTAATATATTTTTTTTCTTCCAGCTGGGAACACAGATGAGTCTCGGCTTTGGGAAGTGCACTGTTCCCGTCTGTGTATATTGTTAATTAACATTTCTCTGCTTGGGCACGTTAGGTCTCTCGCACTCCGAAATGTTACTTTTCTTTATATGCAAACTGTTGAAATATTGTGATCTGCTGTATAATAAATAAACAAGATGTAAACATGAAAGAGCCAGGAGAGTTTACTTTAAAGCTTTCTTCTAAGAGGAGAGGGTGAGGCTGGGCTTGCTTGTCAGTAAATATTTACATCGATGTTCATTTCTGCTTAAGTTAGCTGTGGAGGATCGATGGGGAACGCCCAAGCCTCGGCATCTGAGCAGCATCTCCTGTGCAACAGCTCTTGAGTCACCCCACTTCCCTGTGCCTCAGTTTCCCTAATCTGCAGATGGGGCAATTGCGGCACTGGGATGGCGTGACTGGTCCTGCGGTGAGTCATCCCTGAGGGGAACGGCAGCTGAAACCGTACTGGGAGCCTTGCTGGTCCCGGCTTCTTCCTAAGTGGTCCTGTCCCGCTGGCCCCTGCAGTGGGAGCTCTGCAGCACCAGCCTTGTGGTCACAACCAGGAGGTCCCTGGCAGCTGTTGGATCCTGTGTGCTGTCCCTGCTGTCCTCCTGGGGGGTGGCCCAGCAGCTTGGCGAGGTTCAGGTGCTGAGGTTTCCCTGCGTTAATAGGTGGTGACTCAGCACAAGCGTGCTGGCAGGTCCCGAGCTCAGCAAGCAGGTCTGGCTCCATCCCTCCCTCCCACGGCTGATTACCCGTGATGCACGCATCCCTCTGAAGGCCGGGGCTTGTCTGGACCTGACACCATGCTGGCAGCACAGGGAGCACACCGTATGGGCTGTGCGGTGCCCTGGCCTGTGGTGGTGGTGGCTTCCTCCTCCTGTGCTCCCTGCCACAGCCTCAGGTGGCTGGCCAGGGCTGGGGGGATGCCCTGGGGCTCCTTGCCCTGCAAATGGAAATGGGATGTGGCTGTGGTGCCAACATGGGCTGGGCTGATCTGCTCCTTCCCTGTTTTCCTGCTTGCAGCTGCAGAGAGTGGAGCTGGAAAAAGAGATGGGAATGGCAGAGCGGGGCTGATGTCCCCTTGAGGGGTGGCTCAGAGTCCTGGGGCCAGCATGCAGCCTTGGGGTCTGCCCTGAGCAGGTACAAAAGCATGGGTCTCTCCAGGCAGGGTGGTGGCAGCAGCTTGGGACACCATGTCCTGCCTGCAGGCCCAGGCATGGGACCATGGGACTGCATCCACAGGTGTCACAGATCCACCAGGCTCAATCACTTGTCCTTTCCACAGCTGCCTCCACCCTCTGCTTGCCCCACTTTCTGAGAGGTGCCTGGGTGGGGTGACTATGCTGGGACACGAGTGACCTGTGATGGGGTACAGGGGGTGTCTCGGTCCTGGGACACCTGGTACCCAAGGGTGAGGGTCCAACACTGGTGGGGTGGCTGGAACAAAACTGCTGCCTCTTCCCTGGAGACTTGTTCAAAACGTCACATGGAGGGAGAGGGAGAGGGAAAGGTGTGGGCTGTTTGAATTAGCGATGAGTCAGGCTGGCAAAGCCAGATGGGGAGAGTGCGTGCCTGCGTGTTTGTGTGCGTATAAGTAATCTCTGGCTTTGTGTTTTTATTATGATTATTATTTTTATTTCCAGGGGAACGATGAATTTCTCCAACCATCCTGTCCCACTGGAAAGGCTGGCTCTGCTGTCCTGTCCTCCCTAAGCATCCTGGGAGCCGGAGTGACGGTCCGCAGCTGTTTTGAGGTTCAGCTCTGAGATCAGAGCACAAACCAGTTCTTCCTTGCCTTTCATCATCGCTGTGCCAGGGCGGGAGCAAGGTCCGGCTCTGCTGCTGCTGGCTTACACAGAGGCGAGAGCAGGGGAAGGCGTTTTGGCTCCTTCTCTGGGCAGAGCTGCTCCAGGTTTGCTCCCCTGGGCCTGGGGCAAGGCACTCCTTTGGGCACACGATGGGGCATGGCGGTCGCATGGACTGGCATGGCTGGGAACCTCACCTGGGGGAGGAGCAGCTGTAGTGGAAAAGGCAATTACAGTTAATTTGTTGTTAATAAAAAACACCCTCTTCCAATTGCCTGGGCCAAGACACACTCTCCATTGGAGGAGGGAGCCCAGTCCTGTCCCCAGCAAAACCTGCTCTGCAAAGCGATGAGGGCAGCAAGAAAACACCCTTGGCAGCACTGAGGAAGGCAGGACTGGGGTGCAATGCCTGCCTGTGGTCTGTGTGCCTGTGGTCAGCTGGAAAGCCCTTTGCCCTGGCCTGGCAGGGGCATGCGGGGACCCAAAATACAGCAGTCGACCAGGTGGGATCCTGCTTTGCAAGAGATGTGGCTGTGTCGGAGAGGAGAGGGGGATGGTCCGGAGAAGACAGGCTGGTGCCTGAAGAGCTGATTTACCCACATAAAACCCCTGGGTCCGTGGCTGGCACAGCCTGGGGCAGGTCCTGGTGTCCTGGCCACATGCTGGCCTGCTGCAGGGATGGTGCAGAGGGAAAGCTGGCTGGCAGGGCAATGCCACAGTGCCCACGCCGCTGTGCCCACACGAAGCCATGCAGACCCTGCTCTGGGCCATATCTCCCCCCACCAGCCTGGCCTTCCCCCTTTGGCTACCTCCTGGCAAAAAGGCTCCTGGGAGCCATAGTGGTGGGTGATGCAGAGGACCCTGGCCCCCCTGCAAACCTTAAGGTGCAGCCCTGTGGCTTTGGGGTACAGCCCAACCAGCACAGTGGGGAGGCAAGCGGGGAAGGGAAGGAGCGAGGCATGGAGAAACGCCTCCCAGCAGGGGAGTGAGTCATGGCCGCAGCGTGGCCTGGCACCGTGCAGTCACCTGCCAGCAGGAGCGGTGCCCTGGGGGTTTCATAGCTGGGGGCGGGAGGTGTGAAAGAGCAGCTCCGGTGGGTTTCTGTCCTCCCGGGATGACCCAGCTCGTGGGGATTCCCCTGTGCTGCAGCCAACAGGTCCCACAGAGCTGGCCCAGGGTTGTGGGGCGGTGGGGTGATGGGCCGTTGCGGGTCTGGGAGGGCTCCTTGCCCAGGGCTTGACCGCAGTTGCTGCTGCACACAGGGACAGCACGGAGCTGGGGAGGTGATGAGGGTGCTAGAGGTGGGACGCAGCCTGGCTGCTCCGGGGTGGGAGGGATGGTTTGGGGGTGCTTGGAGAGGCTGACATAGACCTTTCCTCGCCACAACGTGAGGTGGGAGCTGGGGTGCCCAGGGCCAAGGTGTCCCTGCTGAAGGATGCTCCCAGGGCTGGTGTCCCCGCTCCCAGTGGGGTAGTCGGAAGTGTCCCATCCCTGCCATGAGGGGAAGGTCCACCAGACTTCCCCTGCGTCCCTGCCACTTGGGGTGGGCCAGGCGCCGTGATAACGGGGCTGTGGCTATCACCGCACCCTTAGGAAACATTTGGCTTCAGGCACCTGAACCCATGGGGAAGCGATAACTCCCCAGCTCGCTCACCCTGCCTGGACCCACACCTGGCACTATCATGCCTTAGACACACACTGAGAGTTTTTCCACTGCCGGGCCTCAGATAACCTCCTCCCGCCCCACTGGCCGCAGTGTTTGCACTTGTCCTCCTCCGCTGGTGCCAGGCCGGGAGACACGCACACCTTAAGCCCTGGTCTGGAGGCACGCACACCTCTGGCCCAGGGCCACCTTTGGCCATGCCTGGCAGCTGAGGCACGGGCAAAAGGCATGAGGCATGAAGCCTCACAGCATCAGGCACATCCTTCCTCCAGGACCCTGGGGTGGGCAGGCAGCTACCCTGGAGGGGGCCAGCACTGCCTTCCTGCCAGGGCTAAATGTGGGGGGACATCCCTCCCCCAGCTGCTGGGTGGCAGTGAGGTCGCCCAGGCTTGGTACCCTGTGACCGCAGGACAGCAGGAGGTAGGTGATGGAGTTGCAGTGACAGGACAGTGATGCCGGCTGTTGCTGTCCCCCCCACCAAAGCCCTGGGGTGCAGAAGGACTGAGCTCCCCGGCATTGCTGTCTTACCCTGACCCACTCCATTCCCTGGGCTCTCCCTTTTGCCCTGGCAAGGCAGGACCTCAGTGCTCTGGGGAGGTGACAGACCTGGGCACGTGTCCCTGTGCAGGACTCTCAAGGATGGACCAGGTGTTTGTGGGCTGACCGAGGTCTCCAGCTGTGCCCCTTTGCTTTTTGAAGGCTGTGCAAGCTCTGGGATGCAGCGGCTGCTGCCCAGAAACGGTATCTCTGGGTCCCTTTGAAGGCAGTGCTAATTGCTCCACTGCTCATCAGGTTAGCAGAAGCACCCAACTCATGTGTTTCACTTGCAGGTCCATACAGCTCCTGGTGGGACGCAGCAACACCCACGCTCACAGAGGTGGGGGGGGAGGCAGGCTGTGAACAATGCAACCCAGCTGCCCACAATCTCCACCTTTCATGAGGTTAAAAAGCTGCTACCCTGGGGAGAGGAGCTCAAAATGTGCTGTGGACTTTGTTGAAGAGGAGTGAGTTAATCACCCTGCACTGGGGCAGAGCTTGGGCTGAATCCTGCTGGGATAGGGCTGGAAGCTGGGCTTAAGTAGGTCAGGCCTAGAAGTGGGGGATATTATCAAAACCCAAGGACACTGAATGGCCACTTGTCTCTGGATTTTATTGTGGGACTGGTTGTGTTTTCTACAAGTGCTCTTTAACAACATGAACAGACTGTGAACGACCCGCTAGCAAGGGGCAAAAAGAGAGGTCCTCTTTCTCTGGTCTTACAAAGCTCTCGCTGGAGTAGCAGTGCCAGGCTTGCCAGGCAGGCAGAGCAGGGGTGAGACTGTGAAGGCAACATTGGGAAAGCTCTGTCTCCCTCTGCAGACCCGCTTTGAGGAGCATGGACCCCACCTCCAGGCCAGCTCTGGCAAGAGAGCAAGGAAGGGTGCTAGAAATGATGAGGAATGGCCACATGCGCTGAGGGGGGCGGGACTGGACATGGCAGAGCTGAGAGCAAATGGGCAGGACAGGAGAAACCTCGGGATCAGCTCTGTCCTTGTGGGAGGAAGGGCCAAGATGCTAAGAGCCATGCCTGGCAGTGTGGGAGGGTTCAGATAAGGGGTGACAAAGAGATGACACTCTGGGGGTATTACCAGCTCCCGCTGGGGCACATTGGTGCTGGCTGGCCCCTGTGCCAGTCCCTGTGGGAAGGAATTGCCAGCTGGATGGGAACAGCAGCAACTCAGCACGGCCTGGCTGGTGTTGAGGGGCTGCATGCCGGTGTCACCCCGGCACAGCGGGGTTCAGCTCATCTCAGGGCTGCTGCACAGCAGAAGAGATCCCCTGAGGGACACCCCTTCTCCTGGGGTATCTGAGGTGGCTGGATCTCTGTGCCCCATGTTGAAATCTTCTGCTTCTGACAAACTTCTGCGAGGCAGCCTTGCTCCTGCCTTGATGCAGCGGGAAGGTGATTTCTTGAAGTCCTTCCTGGCCCCACACTGCTGTTTCCTCCCCTTTCCCCATTCCCCCCTCTCTTTCCTTCCACAGGGAAGAGGAAACAGGACAGTCCCATTAATAAAACTTTCACTCCTGGCTGCCTGCAGCCTCAGGTAAGCCCCGCAGCTCTGCAGCGCTTCGGGAGGGTTTTCACACCAAGCGTGAAGGCGAGGAGCACAGGCTTTGTAAAACGAAGCTGGGACGGGCAGCCCGAACGTGCAGTGCCTGCCCTGGCAGGCGGCCATCTGGCACGGCTGGCTCACCGCTGGCGAGGCCGACACGGGCTGGCGGGGAGAGCGGGAGGGTGCGACAGCTGCGAGTGCACGCCTCGGGACCCAGCGAGGAGACAGGAAAACTCCTTACGAGCTCTGCAGGGAACTGGGGTCAGCCCCAAGACCCCCGGGGAGAGCCAGGGGACCGTCCCGGGCTGGGCAGCGGGGGCGGCCGAAGCAGCCCCCACAGCCCCGGTGTCCCCGGCCGAAGCAGAGCCCAGTGACCCATCACGAAGGCCCCGGGAGAACGGGCACCCCTGCCTCGTCACCTCGGGCAACCCGGGGGCGCGGGTGGGAGCACCCTGGAAGGCCCTGCAGCCCCTTTCTCCCGCACACGGCGCGACCCCCGGCCGCGGGCCGGGCTGAGGTGGGGGGTAGCCCCGGGCCGGGCTCCGAGACACCCGTGGGGCCCGGGCCGAGCACGGCTGTGCTGCCACCTCCTGGCGCGGGAGCGAGTCCCGCCCAGCAGCGCGCTCTCCGCCCTGAGCGGGGAAGGAGGTACGTCGGCCCCGAGCGGGTGCGGGTGCTGCCGCCGAGGCCGCGGCGGAGGCAGCGCCGGGCCCGGGGCGGCCGCGACTTGCCGGCAGCGGGACGCGAACCCGCTGCCCCACCTCTCCCCGGCACCTCCTGTGGTGCGTCCCGCAAAGGGCTCCGGGCGCTTCCGGGCGCCTCTTGGCGGGAGCGGAAGTGGCTCTGCCCGGGTCCCTGTGTGGGTCGCACCGTCCCGGTGGCTGCGGAGCCGGCGCCGGTGGGTGAGCGCGGGACCGGCTCGGCTCGGCGCTGCTGCGTCCCCGCGGCGGCGCCTCGTCTCGCCCGTCCTCCCGCGGGCTTCCCGGGGCCCCGCCGCGGGGCTTCGGGCCGCGGGCTCGGCGTGCGTGGCCCCCGGGACCGGCCGGGTACCAAGGCCCCGTTGTTGGGCCTGGGGGGGATGGGGAGGCGGCTGCGGGGGGTGCGTATGTATATGTAGGTATATGTGTGTGTGTGTGTGTGTGTATATATATATATGCGTGTAGATATATGTGTGTGCGTATATATATGTACACATATGCGTGTTTGTGCGTGTATGGGATAGCCCCCGCGGGAGGTGGACGTTAACCCTGGCCCCCCTGGTTTCCCCACCCCGCCAGAGCTGGAGGGGACGGACA